ATTTATCCAAATGTTTATGATTACCCATGGGTTTAAGATTAGAGTTTAGAGTTAAAATATTTTATAAAAAAAATTATTTTCGTTTTTATTAATTATTATTTTTTTATATTTTTATTTTTAAAAACATAATATAACTTAATAAATTTTGTTTCCTTGTTAAAACGAGATCAAATATGAAATAATACAATCATATTAGGTGGTAAATTTAAAAGTTTACCATAAAATTTACCATACACAGTGAACCCAAGAATAAGTCTTTCGAATGGACAATCTCCAGATACATGTATTCACGTCCCCATTTTATAAACATAGAGGGCATATATAGAGAACTAGGGCTGGGCATTTTATCCGTTATATTTGATTCGATCCGTTATTCGTTTCGATTCGATCCGAAAATTCCGGATATCCGTAAACTTTCGAATCAAAGCAAATACTAAAATTTAATATCCGTTAAAATCGAAGCAAATCACAAATATTAAAATTTTGGAAAGCGGATATCCGATCCGATCCGTAATATATAAATATATGTATATTTTGATTATATTTAAAATTTTAATTGTATAAAATTATAAAATTATTAATTTAGCACATGATTTTGAACAATTCTATTCAAATGATTACTTATATAAAAGTATTACATAAAAAAGATAAAATATTTTTGACAATTATATTTTTGTCTTAAATTTNTGTACTAATTAAAATGAATGAGATATCCGTAAATATTCGTAAATATCCGCAAATATCTATTTATTTTCCGGATATCCGTTTTTCCGGATATCCGTATTTTTTCGAAGCAAAGCAAATACCAAAATTAGATATCCGTAACATTCGAAGCAAATCACAAATACCTTAAAAAACCCGGATATCCGATCCGTGCCCACCCCTATAGAGAACAATGTTTTCCCTTAATTCAGGGAAAATGCATTTTAATAGAGCGAGTCCATACCGACAAAAAATATTAGTGAACAATATTTCTAGGAAAAATATCCATTTTGGATTTCGAAAATGATAAATTAAAGTTTACATAAATAAATTTTATAAGAAGTAAATATGTATTTCAGGTTTATGATGACAAAAAACTCACTTTTACATTTTGAAAAGTAACGACTACTAATTTTTCTTTTATATTATTATCAATTATTTTACGTTTTCATATAAACTGATTCGCTATATAACTGTAAACTTGTTTAGCATTAATTTTGATTTAATTTGGATTGGTTCAACCTGCATAAATCGAATAAATATCATCTAAATGTGGATAAATTTTAAAACGAAACAAATTAAATACGGAGAGCGAGGAAATCATGTATTCTAGTTGTGGAAAGTGTCGCTTTGACAGGAGTTATTTTGATCTCAAACGAGAGACAATGTATAATGATTGATATGTAGGCCGATATAGTTACCAACCTAACGTGTAACGTGTTCCTAGTATTTATATTGGTATATATGCAGTAATCCTACTATTCGAATTCAGTCGTAAAGTAACAAATATCTATAAACAATATTATTATTTAATTTACCTTAGTGTTAGGTAATAATTATTTTGAGATATTTTTCGACATGCTTGTTAAAACGATTTTATCTAAAAAGAATCTGGCTAACGTGACTTATTATGGATGGAAGCAAATATAAATTCACATATACAAACAGATCAAAGCGAATCCGTAAGAAATACACTCGAACTGTTTTCGTGTTTATTTTAGGTAACTTCAAGAATACAAGAAATGCATATTTAGAGTGTTTGTTGGCATAATATAACTCTTTCTTATTTTCAAATTTCAACCATGTGTTACCATTTTATTATCAATAAAGAACGATTTAAGAACTTTGAGAAAAACCAAATATGAAGCTTTGACACACTTAATGATAACTATAATTTTGGGTTAATGATATTTTTTTAATCTGAATTGGTGATATTTTAACTGAATTTTATACAGTATTGACTTTGATTAGAATTAAACTTGAAACGGTAGATAGAGTTAAAATAGTTTAACAATTACTAATAGTCAAAGGCTGTAAATTTAACAGTAAGAAAAAAAGTAGCACAATAAGTGAGTACAATAGGGGTGGACACAATTACTTGTTACTCGGCTTGTACTCGCTACTTGATTCGTACTTGGCTCTTAAAGTCAAGTACTCGTTTGGTTCAAGTCGAGTATCAAGTCGTTTATTTCAATTACTTACAAGTACAAGACAAGTACCAAGTACTAAAATAAAAGTAACTACTTGGCGTTGTTGGCTTGTTACTCGTGATTTATTACTTGATTTATTATTCGTTTTTTACTTTAGACATAAAAATCTCTAGATTATAATCAAATTACTTGTTTCTAAAATAAATGAATTAAAAATGATATATAATAGAAATATTTTAGAGTTTTCTTTTAATTTTATATTTATCATATATCGATTTAAAACATATGAAAAGTAAATAAATATTATTTATTAAAAAAATTTTAAATCATAATTATAACTAACTAAATATTTTTAAAATTCATATACAAGGTTTAAGTAGCAAAAATTAATAAACTATTATTAAATAAAATTTATATACAAGGTTTAAGTAGGAAAAGCTAATAAATTATTATTAAATAAATTAGTTCAGAAGCAACAAGTAGTAAAATAGGGCAAGTACTTGCAAGTATATCATTTTTTAGCAAGTACTTGAAAGTGCAAGTACTCGTTTTTAATAAACCAAGTACAAGTCCAAAATTTTATTACTCGAACAAGCCAAGCCAAGTACCAAATAGGCCAAAAATGGCAAGTACTTGGCTTGTGCCCACCCCTAGAGTACAACACATCGCTTCTGGTAATGTGAACACGACCAAAGCAGATCAAGATTTCAAGATTAATTGGTCATTAAGTACATGATTAATTAGGTGATAAAGTAGATTTGTATGCTGCTCACATGGATTTGCGTGAAATAATACCTTTACCATCTTTTTGTCTCTCCTACATTTAGAGCTAAAAAACTAAGGGCATTTGCAATAATGACACCAAATTATACTGAAATTACATCCAATTCAATGTTTTGATTATAATTTTTATGTGATTTCTAACAAGAACACTAGATTTATACAAAGATTAATATTGTATATTATTTGATGTTTTCAACTTTAATATTTTTACATTTTTATATTTTGTAATTGATAAAAAATATTTTATCACATTTAAATTGTTATTCGATGACAAAAATTATTATTTATATTTTTAGTATTTGTAAGTGTAAATGATAATATTCATTTAATGATTTAAAGAAAAAAAATTAATATTAAAAAAAATTATGTGAAAATAAGTTAAAAATACAAATAACACTATACATTGTTTTATTAAATAAAGTATAATAAAATAAGTATTCTAAAGATCTAGTGTGATGAAAATACATTGTCCATTTGCTGTCAAGAATGTTGCACGAAAATATTATTTATTGCTATCTACTAATCTTTTTATATAATGAAACCATTATACATATATCTTAAATGGTAAGAATATATTTCAAAATTAGTGGAATTAGTTTGGGATTCCTTTTCTGGTTTAGCTACTCAACTCTTTAATTAACCTTAATTGTTTAAATTCTGATGGATTCATCCAAACATATATAATATTCAAATAAATCAAATCTCCACTCCAGAAAAGATTTTTACATAATTAGAAATTAAACCAAATATTTTAGTTTTATATTTATTTTACTTTTTTTGAAAACGAGACAAATGTTTATACTTTTTGATTAAATATAAACATAATCTTCTTTTTACATCTATTACAAAATAAATTGATGATATTTTTATTTAATTGTAGTTTTCAAGTATTAATCTCTAGTTTTGTTTTTTTGTTTAAAATATGATATATTTATTTTAGTTTAAATATGATACATGTTGTGAAGTGTATTTTCTTTTATAAATAGGTAGCTAACATTAAAAAATACTAAGGTATACACATATACTAAAACTAAAAATTCATAGATAAAATGTATATTATATTAAAGCTATATCTTGTTACCTCTTCCTAAACGTGGACGTTAAGGTATCCATTCATGTTTGGTTTGGATCTATTCGGGTTTTGAATTTTCGATTTAAAGATTTTAGTCTTCTTTCGGGTATTTATAAATTTCAGTTTAGATTTGAATTCAGATCTTTGCGGATTCGGTTCAGATTCGGATAACTCATTTAAATTATTTTTTACAAATTTGAAGTTGATATATACTTAAATTTCTCAAAATCTATAAATAAAAAATAATATATAACATCTAAATTTGAGTAAGGTATGCCAAATACCTAAACTTAACATACAATTGATTTGATTTGAATATTTAGATAGAATCAATAGATAGTTTAAGTATTTTTGATGTTTTGAGTATTGTTTAACTACTTTAGATATTTACTTTGACTATTTCGTATATATTTTCTAATGTTTTGGATAACTTCATTAGTTTTTTGTAACACTTCATTATATCTTATACATTTTGGATACAAATTTTGGATGTTAAATTTAAAAATAGCTAATATGTTCAATTATATAAATCTGATTCAGATATTCAATATATATTGGTTCAGATCGAGTTTCGTTTTCTAGATACCAAAATTTTAAACTCATTCGGATATTTATCCAGTTTTGGTTCGAATTTGATATCATTTTCTAGAGTCTGATTTGGTTTGGTTTTCGAATCAAAATTGGTTTGGTTTTTCAGGTTTGGATTTTTACCCATGCCTACCTCTTCTTGTTGTAATTTTAAAAGCTCGTTGCATATCTTTTTGGCTAATATAATATAATTCATAATATTATTTTGAAATATAAGGTATTAGCTCGTAGAAAGATAAAAGGTTCCCTTGTATATAACTGTGTTTTACTTCAAGTAAGTAAAGGATAGAGAAGCGACGTGAAAACGAAAGGCAATTCTTTCAAAACTACAGATTCCTTTTATCATAGTCAGTCAAAAGAAGTCAACTCTTATGTCAGTTGACGGACAATGACGACTACTGACGTCAGCATCAAATTCTGTCTCTCTTTCCTCAGTTTAAATAGAAACGAAGCCACTTCAACTTTCACTCACTCATCACACACACAAACAATAGAGAAATACATAAACACAACACGCCATGTGTGGACACGTAAGCACCACCATAGCCTCCGGCGATACATGTCCATGTTTTGTATACTCCGACTATATAGTGGCTCCTCCTCTGCCGCATGATATCGATCATCATCATATGTCCCTGCCTCCGCCGCCTCTTATGATGAGCCACCACACGCTATTTTCGGCCGAGGCAGTTTCGGGATTTGGTTATCTTGATTCCGTCACGAACGGTGGCGGAGGAAGCAGCAGCTGCGACTCGCCGAGCTCCATGACGAGCGGTGGAGATAGTCTGACTATGCAGAGGAGTGTGAGTAGCCATAATGGCTTTTATGGTAATTTACCGATAACGGCCCACGACTTCGTTAACGACCATGATGGGCCAGTGAGACGGGCCCTTAGCGCCGGAGAATCACCGGTAAGTAGTACAAATTTATATAATATACACACTTTCATGACATGTATTGATATTTCTAAAAAATATATACAAAATTTGATATTTCAAACATGTCTTTCCTTTCTATGTTAGCGTTTCTTTTTTTTCTTGTTAAAGATGATTAAAATTTTATAACTACGAAACACAAAAATAAAACTTGGAGCCTAGATTCCTATCGGTTTCTTTTTTTCTTTTGTTAATAGTTTCAACGGCAGCATCTTTTCTGACTTTACAATGGGAAATTTCACATTTTCAAGTAGTATTTATAATGAACTTTGATATAGTATAAAAACAAATGTACGTTTTGGCATGTGTATAGAGGAGTAGCAGAAGAGAGAGCAGCACCGTGTGGAGTGAGAGCAATGCAATAATCGAAGGAATGAGCAAACCCTATAAGTATACTCCTGAGGAGAAGAAAGAGAAGATCGAAAAATATCGTAGCAAACGGAATCTTAGGAATTTCAACAAGAGGATTAAGGTAAATTTTTAGTTCTTACATTTTTTTAATTTATATGTTTAGCCATTTATTTTTTTTGAGCACACAATTATGTTTAGCCATATATAATTGTGTGTTCTTCTGACATAAATTTCAATTATATTATTTCTCTTATAGAAAGAAAAACTGATGTAGCATATAATTATTTAAGGGGAAATTTTTATCTTTTCAGATTATATAAGTGACACATATGGAAGCTTTTTAAGATATGACCAGTCATTAGTATAAAACAGTGACATGCACCTGCACACTTATTGATGCCTAACCCTTTCATTTTCTAGTCAAGCATATTTTTCCCTA